CTAAGCGTCCCAAAACCATTATATTCAATGTTCATTTCGAATATTTACTATTATATTCATAACTATCCATTTCAACATGCCATTTCCGACATGACAATCGACATGAACACACATAGATTGTTCCTGAGATAAAAAAAATAACTGATGAGACTCTGTGCTACTGTGTTATCTGCAATCTGCAATTTCTTACCTTCCAAGCTTCTCTACTGAGCAGTCATAGTTAAAATGACTGAAGATTTTTGTATATTCTTATCAATAAGTTCCTCAGCGCAATTGGGTCTCTGATATGCAAATATACAAGATTAGCCTTTACTTCGTGTAGCATGAACACTACTATTAGCAATAGATAAGCTTAGCTTACCAAAGGTTGTGCATTATTGCTGGGATGTTGTGACTTCACAAGTCTGATTTGGCTACAAGTGTTTTCTGGATTTTGTAAACATGTGTACATAGTCAGCAGAACTACAGACTTCAAGTGAACATTCAAAAATAATTTACCGCTGATGCATTTTTTTATTAAACTATATTTCTGCAAATGCCATGACATTTTGTAACATGTGGTTAATCTGATAGTAAATCATTGGAGTAAACTTTTTTTTTTTTTTTTATTCAGCAAAAACCAAAATCAAGTAAAAAGATAACTTATGTATCTAGTTTTCCCCCAATAGCTTATCAGCCCAAATTGCATTTTTTTTTAGCTCCCAGTAAATTGCAACCCAAGAAGCCACAGTATTAAAGGGGCACCTTCCAGTTAAGATTAATTTTACAACAAATTTACTTTCTGGATTAAAATAACAATGGATAACAAAAGATAGATTAACAATGTAAACAACATAAACAATAGTGTCCCATGATTCTTTGGTGCAATCCAAGGGATTGAGCAGTTCCCCTTTAAGTGTTGCATAATCCTTTGTTGCACCTGGTCAAACTGCACACAAAAGCTAATGCGTTATGAATAGTGTAGCTAATAGCAGCTGCCATTGTCTAAAGATTTAATGTAACTGTCCTTCATCACAACTGTAATCTCACTGGTGTGTGATGTTATGCTTAGACACGTTTACTTTATCAACTCATACTCAACTTGTATCAAATTTACCATCAGTGCTATACAGGAAACCCAGTATACATATCATTTGCTATAAGCTTCGGGCAACACAGGACATTTCTTGAACTAAATGTATTTTATACCGTCCCACCAGAGAATATACGATATATTAGGAATAAGATCAGTTAACAATAGATAATTGTTATGCAGATGTTTGAATTTTAAAAACACTGGGAACGACATGAGCCACTTAGTATTGATTACACTGAATGCTGATTTTAAGTAGCTGTTTATGTCGCTTCCAGAGAACATGTTGCAACACTATTTTAAATTAATGAACTTAGAGTAAGTGTACTTTGGCAGTGACTAATTGTTTTATTGTTCTTTTCAATTTTACATCAGGATTTGCTCTATTATAGTGCCTTATTGGCTTTTGAAAAACAATTACTTTGTCTGAAATGAAAGTTCGATAGGTGTTTATGATGCTTGATTAAATAAAATTTATAACATCAGGTTTGTACTTTGGTCTGTTTAACAGTTGCATGATTAAACTGTTGTAACTGTAATCACCATGGATACCTATGCATATCATTCCGATCAATCGTTAATATTGATTCAAATCCTGTTTTAGGATTGAACTTGAAAACTGGTTTTGAAAAAACAAAATGGTTGTCAGAGCCACTTGCTGGAATTTTTCAACATAAGAATGAGTTTGAAAAGAGTTTGGTTGAGGTCAAATAGTGTTTGGCTTCGTGCCAGGTGTGATTGGCACCAGAATATTCAGCCTTGTCATGTAGTCCCAGACATGTGGAACAATGTATATTGACTTTGTGAATTAAAACAAATTTAGGGGTGACAACTGTGTTAACCTAAATTTGTTCAAGTTAGGAACCTAATGCTCAAGTGTGTAGGCTTTAGAAATACCAGTTATATGGTATTGAAACGGTACTAATCCTGAAATTAACCACTGACTGGCATTTCCATAGTTACCTCGATGTTATAACATGTTCAGTAAATTAAAAGTGCGACATCAAACAATTGAAAACTACAGTTAGCTCTATCAGTATTGCATGTGTTTATATAAATAAAAGCTGTGTGTATTGTGAAAACTATTCATTTTTGTTCAGTATGTGATATGTGCAACTGTTGGTTAACATATGCTTCATTGGAGATACCCTTCCAAAAGACCATATATGGTGTTGGACCAATTACAGTGCATTGTGGTACTGTTAATTCAAATGTGTATACTACAGTAATGTCTATGGTGCAATGTTTTGTGGTAAATGCTACTTTAATTGAAACGAAAAAAGAAAACCATTACTAATTTGTATTTCTCATTATTTTGTGTTCGCAGGAGAAATCATCGGTATTCTTCTGTAAGGAGATCTGCATGGAGGAGAGTAGAGGAACCAGTGTTCCCAGTGTGTAGCTATCTGAATGATTCATACGACTTCCCACCTCTAGGTAGTCGAGAAAACAAGTAAGCAATAATTAGTAGCTACTTAACCTTAACACCAAGAGTGAGTGAGTTTGCTGTTAAAATTTGGGTAACAATTTGTTGCTGTCCAGTTAACTTACTGTAAAAGCATTAATTTTCACTGGTGTTCACTGACATTAATGTGTTTGAGCATGTTTTACTGGGTTTTAAAGTTACAAAAATCATCTTGTGAAGTAAAGAGTTTTATTGTAATTTTCACACATTAACTCAGTTTCACTCAACTTTTCCCATTACTTTACAGGTACACTCCTGAAAGTCAGCGCAAAGAGGCAAAATCTCTCAAACCTGTTAATGATTGGGGTACTATGGTGGAGGAAGAGGAGGAGGAACGTCAAATGGCCAAGAGGAAACTAATACTAAGTGCAAGCAGTGACAGGTAAGAAATAAATTCTCACTTTTAGACAATTTATGCTTTCATGTTGCCTGCAGAGCTCAATTGAGAATGTGAAGCATGGAGACCATAGAGGAAATTAACTTAATGCCCTACCTTTCAATGAGACCAAAGTATTTTTAAAATGTTTTGTCCTAAAAATGAGTGTCCTCACAATTCTGAAGATCAAGCCCTTGACTGCTACATTCATAGATGTATAGAAATGATATTTAGGAGCCAACACTGTACTTCTATCCAACCAATCATTCTCAATTTACTGTTGTTAAATTTCAGCTCGCGAGAAAGAAAAGAGAGCAACAGTTCAAAAAAACCAGTTGAAACCGATGAAAGCATACTTCTTCGTAGACAGAAGCAATTGGATTATGGAAAAAACACCGCAGTGTATGGAGAGTTTATTCAACAAGTTCCAAGGTATTTATTTACTGTGTTTACTTGCAAATGCGCAATATTAGTTAACTCACTTGCCCTAACAGACTTCAACATACCAGAAAATTGAGTTTTAAGTTATCGCCATGTCCTGATAGTCTCTTATAAGATGGAGGATTCATGGAAAATGATATCAGATAATGGCAATGTACAAAATATCACAAGCTTACTACAGGAAAACGACAAATGCATTAAGTTCAGCTGTAATGCCATTTTTTTAAAATATTTTTATTACAGAGGTAAAAGATGCAAGGACCATCCACGTACGCCCAACAAGTACCAGGTCAGCAGCCGCAGGTCGTGGGACATGCAAATTAAGTTGTGGAAGAAGAAACTACACAATTGGACGGCAATGTCTGGTGACGAGAACGTGTCTACTGCTTCTAGTGATGAAGCCTGTATAGCTGGAGCTGGAAGGTGAGTTAGTTGGGTTTTTGTTGGTTTACCAGTTTTAAGAGCTGATAGTAGGCACTACACAGCCATGCAGAAAAGTGTCAATTTGTCTATTTTTTCTTTTTTCGAGACCTGTTGGTAGTCGTAATTTCTAGTGCATGTCAATAGGCTGTATCTGCACAAATATCCATTGTTTTTATTGGCAGTGCAACATTAGTCGCAAACAAGATTTATTTGTTATGGAATTTCTGTAATTGTTTCAATGGCATTTACACAAGTACATGTACTGACAGATGTGTATTTCATATAAAAAAACAAAAATACAGTACTTGTTAGTTTTTGTTATTACGGAAATATTCACATATCATCAGGGATGTTTAATTCTTGTAATAATCATTGAAAAGGGACAATTACAAATGGGAGTGAGACGTAAAAAAAAAAAAAAAAAAATATTGTAAAAATTTCTATTCCTGTGCTTTATTTCAGGAGAGATTTACTTTCCGGGGACAGTTGTTCTGACAGCACTGGATCTATAGAACACACTATGGATATTGAAGACTGCGATGATGCTGATTCTGCTTTTGAAACCCCATCAAACTCACAAGAAACTGACGTCATGGATGCCGATACAAGTCTACCAGCATGGACAGATGTATCTGGTATATTTCAAACTCTCATGGCTGTAACAAAAGCAATGTCCAATGAGGTCGTAGAACCATCAGCCCATCCAACAAATAGTGTGATCCAAACTGATGATCCAAAACGGAAGAAGAATTTCATCGATGAATTTGACTTGGACAGTTGTCTCCAGGATGAGGATGGAGTTGAACTGTAAATCCTTGAGAAAATCTGAATTGTTAATTGATATTTAGTACAAATAATATCAATACAGCTACAGATGAAGTGACAATCACAAGAAGCAGATGGCACATTAAAAAAAAAACATTGATGTTTCCACCTAGAATTAATCAGGTTTGACACAGACTTTTTGTTCTGGCCGTGTCAGTGAGTGAATTAGTGTTAATTGCAAATATTGAAGCCCCACACTTTATAGATTTTCTGTGGGTTGTCAATATTCTTGAACCACTCCACCCCCCTAAAAAAATCCAGGTGTGGCAGCCAGTCAGCAAATTTCTGTTTTTCAACAAATAAGATATTCATATATTTTATGTTAATCATTTTTACTTGTATATATAATATTTTTTTTAATTTCTTGTTGAGAGATTTTGTATTTTATCACACTTGGCAGTAAAAGTAATGTTGTGCCTTTTTTATCGTGTTGATTATTCATCATGAAACACCATTAGATAGATATCCGGACAGATAACAATTGACGGTGATGAAAGGCTGGTACAGATGAGATTGGTTCTGCTTTTCCTGTGGTTTAGAAAAAAACAAACTACAAAACTGTTGAAACACTTGATAGAATCAACAACCCGAGTTGAAGAGATTGCATTATGATCACTGAAAGAAGTGCATTTCAATGTAATTAAAACATAGTACTAAAGTGTTGCAATCGTAATGATTTCTATGCATCTTGTCCTGTCAATTATCTTTGTCCTATGAATTCAGTTCAACCTACTGTGAAGTACTTTATTTTCACTTGGAATTAATTTTCGCTGACAGGATGAATTTGTGAAAATAAAATCCAGAGAAAATACTTTTATTTTACATTTCACCATCAAAATTCATTGAAAATAAATGTTATACAAAACATCTTTTCAATGAAAATTATTCGAGCTAAAATAAAGTATTTTACAGTATTTCCTGAATGTAGCAATTGACCACTCAGTGTATGATTCAGGGGCCTACAAATAATTTGACTTTCCACTGGCCTTTAATTGATGTTTTCGGCATATTAAACTTCACAAATTTGTCAGAAACAAGTTCTTTTGTCATTTTAAATGTTAATTTAATTCAGTGGAGTTTATTTATCAGCAAAAAATAGCGAAATTAAAACTCAGTATGCATGTAGAAATTCTTCAGCCCATGTTGCAGGTTTTTCACAACTTTTCATCTGTATTCATTAACCACCTTCAATACTTGGGTTAATAATCATCATTCCTTGGGTTAATAATCTTATATTAAGCTATAAAATATATATATATTGAGTTTAAAATTACAAAGAAAATATTAGACTTTTCTTTTGAAAGACACCAAAGGTGGACGGATACCTTCATGTATGATCTTGTTTTTATTTTCAGTTGTGGAAGGAAAACTACTGTACCGGTATTAGATTTTATGAAAACAAATTTTGTTTTATAAATCAATACTGTAAATTTTTTTTATTTTAGCTGGAATTTTTGCCTAAAAGATTTTTTGGGAGTTTTGTATGGAATTTGTTTTCACTGATTTTTGACGAGTTGAGTGTAAAAATATAGGAAAAAGGTATATTCGTTGGTTTTTATTTTCACTGAATCATTCCTTCAGCAAAAAGTATTTTACAGTACTGTATTATTTTTTATTGGAGACACAGTTGAAGTGTTAGCCATTTAATGCATCAATATATACCTAGAACAATCCACAAGTACAAACAGTTGCTTTTCTGTGCCTCTATTTTGACACTGCTTCTAATACAACAAATTTGGCATTAAAATTAAATTTCCATGTAAATAGCAACTTTTTTTAAAGCAGTTACGTAGTAGTGTAATTTTTATTGTCTGGAATTTTAAATTTAAAACTTAATAGTAAATTAAAGTGTTTATTATACTTAATAAACGGAGAGAAAACAAATGCAATTGTTATGAATGTTCAGCAAAATATTCATGAATGGGTTATGCAATGTGTTGCCATGCCATGCACATGTGGTGATAGATCAAGTGGCAATTTATTATTAATTACAATGCTGGTACAATATATAGTAGTACTATTTGGCTATTCTAACAGTCTTCTCAACTTTGATGGTGGACAGTTATCCTTTAACCTTTAGTATTTTTGTTTTAAAGCTCTGCTGTCATCAAAGATGGTCCAACTTTTTTTCAAGGGTCTTCTTTTAAACCGTAAGCTAGACCACCTTGCATCTACCTTGGGTCAAATTTGTTCATTTCATTACATCACATCCAAATCTCTATTTTGACTCCCGTGTGCAAAGCACACAATGGGAGTCTTTGCAGTGAGTGTGTCCGTCTATCCGTCCGTCAGTCTGTTCCACTGATATCTAAAGAACCATACATTGATTTTTGATGAAACTTCGTGCATAGATTCTCTGGGCCAATGCGCAGATCTAATTAAGTTTTAGTAAAAATCCATGCATATTAATTACCTAATTTGCATGATAATTAGCTGATTTTTAGCTGTTCCACTGATATCTAAATAACCACTCATTGGATTTTGATGAAACTTGGCACATAGATGCTCCAAACTAATGCAGAGATTTGATTAGTTTTGGGTAAAAATATGCAATATTAATTACCTAATTTGCTCAATGATTAATCAATTTTTGGCTTTTCCACTTGTATCTCAAGTACTAATCACATTTCAATGACACTTGGTACATAGATGTCATAGGACACTGCACAGACCTGATAGTTTTAAGGTAATATCAGTACATATTAATTACCTAATTTGCATAATTAATTAATTAATTTTCAGCTTTTGATATTTCAAGTAGTTAATCATCACATTTCAATGAAACTTGGTACATAGTTACTTAAGGACTGCGCAGACCCCTGATTAGTTTTTGGGTAAATATTTGTGCATATTAATTACCTAATTAGCATAATTAATTTTCAGCTTTTTGCTTGATATCTCAAGTACTAATCACCATATTTCAATGAAACTTGCTACATAGATCTAGGAATATGCAAAGACCTGATTAGTTTTAGGGTAAATAATTGTGGATATTAATTACCTAATTTGCATAATTAGTTAATTTTTTTCATGAATGTTCCACTGATATATAAAGAACCACGAATTGGATTTTAATGAAACTTTTAAAGAGTACTCATCACATTTCAATGAATCTAGGATTATGCAGAGACCCAATTAGTTTTTGGTAAATATTTATGCTTATTAACCACCTAATTAACATAATTTACATTGATATCTCAATTACTGATCATCACATTTGAATAAAATTTGGTACATAAATGCTCTAGGACAATAGACTGATTAATTTTGGGTTAAATTTGTTCATATTAATTCTCTAATTAGCATAATAATTCATATTTGTTTTGGTTCTGTTCTATTCATATTACCTGATTTACATAATTAGTTTTCAGCTTTTCCATCAATATCTCAGGTACAAGTAATTTTGAATAAATTTGTAATGTGTCTTCAATACTCTCAGCACACGGGAGTTCTTTCTAAGCTTTCTTTGATAAGGAAATATTTTTGGTCAAAAATGATTTTTTTCAACAACTGTTGTCAGATTGCATTGAAATCTGGCATTCACGTTCTTGTGATGGACTAGACTGACTTATTAATTTCATGAGATCATATGCATGTCTATTTTTAGTAAATATTTTTTTTGTTTGCTCATTTATGCATATTTTTGACTTCTCCAAAACTCCCTGCCAGATTGCTTTAAGATTCATAATGTAGACACATGGGTTCTCTTTCAAATTTTTGTGAAAGTTATGAATTTTTTTGTGAATATTTTCCCCAATTTCCCTTGCGTTATATATGGGCTATGTATAATACATGGACTGTAATAGACAAGTGTATTGTTAGGTTGTGGACTACCTGGGCCAATGTTTTATATGGTATTTTTCAGTACACGAACTACCTGGGCCAATGTTTTCCATGGTATTTTTCAGTACACGTTGTGTTGGGTTGTGAACTACCTGGGCCAATGTTTTCTATGGTATTTTTCAGTACACGTTGTGTTGGGTTGTGAACTACCTGGGCCAATCTTTTTCATGGTATTTTTCAGTACACGTTGTGTTTGGTTCTGAACTACGGTACCTGGGCCAATGTTTTACATGGTATTTTTCAGTACACGTTGTGTTGGGTTGTGAACTTCCTGGGCCAATGTTTTCCATGGTATTTTTCAGTACACGTTGTGTTGGGTTGTGAACTACCTGGTCCAATGTTTTTAAAACATGTTGAATTTTAAGTCAAGATCATTTTAATGCTCATATGTTGAGGTCAAGGTCAATCTCTATTCTATTTCGAGTTTCAAAAATATTGTTTTGACTGGCCATATCATACTTCACAATCTCCATTTCTTCAAACTGGTAATAATACAATGACCAGTTTCTTTTATGGTGCCAAACTTTATCAATATTACTCCACCTTATGTTTCCAAGTCAACGTTAACAATTACAGCGACGCTCTTTCGACCGCAAAGTCGCTTGTTTTTTAATATTCCAAACAGTATTCGTTTACAAGTCTCTTTGTTCTCAACAATGCCTGTTCACTTGGAAAGGACTTTTCAGAATGTGGTTCATGTGCGTTTCAAGTAGAGAATACAACTGTTTGAAACTTGTAATAGTTTATTGCCTGTTTGGTGATTAGGTTCTTGTAAACTATAATCCACAACCTACCAACACAGATTTTAAAGCGGGGGAGTCGTTACCTACGCATGCGTCTGATGGCCATAGCATGTCATTGTTTACAAGCAAGCGTTTACCCATCAGCCTTTATGTTTTTAGTGTGTGTTATCGTCGCTTGGGACTCAATTCTCACATGTGCGCACCCTCTCGTTTTAAAACTACAGTATTTATGTGGCTGAAATAAAGACAGGATTCTTTATTTATTTCAGCCACATGAATGGTGCTTTCTTTCCCTGCGTACTTTGCTAGTGATCTGGATAGTGATTCATCCAACTACTTCCATACCACAAATGAACAAGTTTTCTCATGATTAGTCATCTTGCAAAATGAGTTAGGGGCTAATTTTAAATGAGGAATAAATAATTTTACACAAGAATTTCCTATAATGGAATTTGGATTTTCTCATTTTTTTATTTTACTTGCAAAATCACTGCTAAAATACAATCTGATTAAAATAAGGCCAGACTTTTTTTTATTCAGTGTTTCTCGAGTTTTTATAAGTAAATTTTTTTGAGGAGGGCGGAAAAAAATAAAATTAATTTTTTTTCCATTAGATTTGTGTGATTCTCAAAGAATTGTATTTGAGATCATTGAGCGGATAGAAGGAATGAAATAAAAATTTATTCCATGTATAACCTGGTTGGCAATGTCGCCAATTGTGGCACAATTTTCAGCATTAATAAGGGATTTCTCGGTTTTTGATGACAGAAACTCCCATAAAAATGCAACTGGAATTTATTTTAGTAATTTTTTGCACTCACAAGTTGGCGGGTGCGAGAAATTACGCTGAAATAAAATTTTATTTTTATTTCATTTTGGCTCCTGTTCATTCGACGGGTTCGAGAACCAAGGGATAATAAAAGTCTGGCCTAAGATACTAGTTGGGAATTTTTGTTATTAAATATGTGTTTAATTATTTATTTTTATTGTACTTTTATTTTAATTTATTATTATTAGCTGTTTTAAGAGTTTTGGTAATATCTATGTAATAACAGAGGTACATTACTTGGGGTTTGCAACTCGCATAGTACTGTATGGTGACATCATGTCAAGATCCCATTCAAGTCTCTTCTCGTAGATAGCGAGACTGAAGCTACGACCTTCTGACATGACGCATATCAATGTTCAAGGTTTGTAATGAAAAAAATAAACTTTTCTTGTCACTATCATAGTGAAAAATGTAATACATCGAAAATGTACAGAAAATATAGTTCTCGTAATCCGTCATATCGTGGGCAGCTATTTTGATCCACCTGGACATCCCAGTATCCTAGTTACCTCGGGCATGCGCATTCGCATTTTTTCTGAGTTGGAACGCTTATGCGAGAGCGAGATTGTGACGGGATCTTGGTATCATGTCACCGTAGTTACAAACCCCAAGTAATGTACCTCTGGTAATAATGATAAAACAATTACAAAATAATAAAATATATAGTAAAAATAAAATTCACGCTGTGAATACATCAGATTTTGCAAAATTAGTTTACATACTGGTAATATGGAAACTATACCACACACAATTTGGTCTATTAGAGTTGTATTATTTATCAATTAGTAAAATATGATTTAATTTGATTATAGACGCACCACAATTGTCAGCAAGTGTTACTAATAGCACAAATACAGTGTTGGTTACCTATGACATGCTATAAGAACATGATTTATTTGTGCAATTGAGATATTTTAGTTGCATTTTAGATTACTTTAAAAATCTCTACATCCGTAAAAAGTGTTCTCGGTTTACAACGAACAAGGGCAGGTTTATGGATGTCAGACACTATTTTAGATTTAGATGGGAAAAATTGAAATTATAGAGGAATTCTGGGAGATGTGTTGAACAAAGATTTGCAAGCTGGACACCGCGAAAATATTTGCTTGAAAAAAAAGTGTACACATTCAACAAAAATAAAATAGCGCAGACTAGACATGAAACAAAAAATCACTGGACACACTCAGCCACCCCTATGATTTCAAATGGTTAATCCCTTAGCGAGGTTTAATCAAATTCTTGATTTGAAAATGAGCAATGAAAATGAGCAAATGAAGCTGCGATGAGTTTGTAATAGCACCCTCAACACTTCACAATATGTCCAACAGAAGCAAATTAGCTGACACTAGAGGGCGCCATAACCGAAAATTGAGTTTAAAAAAAAATACGATTTTTTGAACAATATTAATACCGATTTTAATTTTTACTAATTTTACCCCCCCCCCCTTTCCATGAGAACACTGCAAAAT